AATCTTTTTAAAAATTATTCTCATATTAAAATTTTCTTTTCATCAAATTTAATAAAAATTTAAATTAAATTTGATGAATTATTAATTTGATAAAAAAAATATATCTTCTTTCATTTACAACAATGTTTGGTAGCTCGAATTTTTATGATCCAAATAGCTCGAATGTCTCAAAACTACGATTGTTTTGGGATAAAACGACATCGTTTTGATATATTTTAATCATTCAGGTCATACAAATTCGAACTACCAAGTATTTTTTGTTCTTAGTGTTAGTGACTGTGAATAGTATACAACATAAGGCGACTAACTATGGTCTCATTTTGAATTAATTTAACTTATTAAAAGATAAAATAAATTATAAAATTAATAAAACAAAATACTATCCTCAAATTATAATTATTTTATTTTTTATTTTTTACAAAACTATAAAAAAAAATTATAAATTCATTCAAAACAAAACTTTTCCATGTGAATACATGGATGTAGTAACTAACTATGGCATCATTCGGTGAGCTAATTGGGATTAATCTAACTTATTAAAAGATAAAATAAATTAAAAAATTAACAAAATAATTTATTTCATCTAAATCATAATTATTTTTATTTTTTTGTTACAAAATTATGAGAAAATCAAAAGTTTATCCGGGCAAAAAAAATTTAGTTAGATTAAAATAATAAAAAATTAAAACAAAAATTTCTCCCAAATGAAGGCTATGGGGTGGCCAAGAGTGTCCGTCTAGGCCATCAAAATATGGTCAAAATAGTTGTAGTGGTGGGCGGCCAGTCGCAATAGTGGGTGATGGCTACAGGTGCGTGCCTGCAATTGAGAAATGTGTAAATTTATTTTGAGTCCGGATTCTCGGTCGCCCTTCTCGACCGCCCTTTCCTGCAGCCCCTAAAACGACGTCGTTTTGGGGGCAAATTTTCAAAAAAAAAAAAACCCAGTTCACTATTTCCAATTTACCATCACCTACCACCACCTACTCCTCACCTACTCCTCACCTACTACACTCACCCTCTCCTATATAATTTACCATCACCTACCACCAATTTACCATCACCTACCACCACCTACTCCTCACCTACTCCTCACCTACTACACTCACCCTCTCCTATATAATGAGCCACTCACCATTTGTAATATACATCAATCAGATATCAATCAATAATACATAAATTCTTACAGGGGCGCTACAGGGAACCGCCGCAGGCAAGGGCGACCGAAGATCCGGATTCGGTCAAAATAGTTGGAGTAGTGGTGGGGGGCCAGTCGCAATAGTGGGTGATGGCTAGAGGTGCGTGCCTGCAATTGAGAAATGTGTAAATTTATTTTGAAAATGAGTGAAAGAAAATTTATTTATTTTTTAAATTTTAAAAAAATAACATATAATTAAAAAATTCATTCAAAACGATGTGATTCACTGTGAAATTTTTACTTTAGGACAAAACATTATTAAAATTGAATTTATTTATAATAACTATAATGTTATATTATTTTTATTAATTTTTTTTTCATAAATTTTATATATAAATAGATTTTTTTTTTAAATGTCATAATCATATGAATTTTTTGAAAACAATGGTTACCTAACATTGTGTGCGCCTTCATTCAAAAAAAACAAACAAACATTGTGCGGCATCAAGTGTAACATTCAATTTGCTTGTCAGGCATTTTTTGCATAGTAAACCTGAATAGTGATCACAAAATGTAGAATTAGGATATGTGTTTGATTAATTTTTATTACTATTATTTTCTTAAGGTTAAAAAAAATTAAAAAAAATCGTAGATAATAGTAGAAAAGAAGTAGAGTAAAATTCACATGGAATGAAATGTCTCATTTATAGTTAAAAAATGTTAGAGATCTCAAAGTTTTATCAAAATTTTTACATGGGACCCACATGTTGTGAGACCCACACTCATACGAGACATTTGGTAGAAATTTTATTAGAATTTTTGAAATTTCTAACATTATTCCTTATAGTTATTCATTGGAAGTCAAAATGCCATTTGAAGAGTGTAAAAAAAAAAAAAAAAAAAAAAAAAAAAAAAAAAAAAAAGGGGGGGGGGGGGAGAAAGCAATTCAATAATACACTCCTTGTTTAATTTTTTCAAGCAAAAGTAATGGATTTAATTAATAGCAGGAGTCCTTATATGATAATTGCGTAAACTTCCACTTAAACTATTGCAACTATCAAGATAAACAATTATTAGATTACATAATTTTTAAGTGTTGAAATTTTTTTTTTTTTGGAACAAAAATCACATGCCTAGACATCTAAAAAGAAAAAAAAATACTTATCCAACGTCCTCAATCAAAAATATTGAAAACACACATTTTTGTCCAACGAGCCATAGTAAACCTCTTTGTTCAAAATCTCATAAAAACTTTTCGTTAAAAAGCCCCAATCCTAAAGACTAGAAAAATAATTTAATTATATAAGAGTCTCCCTCCCCCCCACCCCAACCCATACACCCACATTTGTATATAACACAAGATGGTTGAGGAGATATAGAAAGTAACCTTTTGGTCTCCCTAAGATGACAGCCAAGTACCCAAAAAATGCATCATGCACTTCATTTGCAAACCCAATGTCTGCTGCCACTTTCTTCCATCTGTGGAATTTCATTAACCAATGTTGGCAGCACCATTACAAAGAAAACCTTTGCTCTTCCAAGGTTATTGGCTACTCCACAGCTTGGAAAACCGTGAGATATCTCTCTCTCTCTCTCTCTCTCTCTCTCTCTCTCTCTTCCATCTACTCTCTCTCACTCTCGCAGCGCTCCTCCTCCTCCTCAGCGTCACCGCCGCCACTATCCACGACGCCAATCATCTCCGTCGTCCATCGCCTCTGTCGTTGCAGTCACAGCCTTTGTCCATCGCCTCAGCGCCTCCGTCGTCGTCGCAATCGTTCATGCCTCCGTCGTCGTCTATCGCCTCCGTCATCCTCCTCCATCACCCATCGTCCATCGCCTCCATCCTTCGATCTGTACTATTTGTGTATGGATTTATTTGTATGTTTTGCCTATTTTTTCAATTTAGTCCTCCTCAGATCTATACTGTCTGTACTTTTCTTTTCTTTTTTTGTGTTCAGTCCTCCTCAGATCGGTTGATGATTTTGTTAATGTTGATGTTGAAAATGAAACAGATTTGGTGTTGAAGGTGTTGTTGAAACAAATTTGATCCGAGGAATTTCTGGGGTTGGGGAAACCCGATCCCTACTAGGGGGCGGGGACGGGAACAGGTTCCCCGTAGGGGATCGGGGCCAAGGACAGGGAGATTTTCACAATCATTGATCGGGGACAAGGAGTGTGATCCCCGGCAGGGCCGGCCCTAACTTATTAAGGGCCTAAGGCGAATTTTTTAAATTGGGCCCTTCATATATCATTATCTAAAAAAAAAAAATATTTGGATAAAAAAGATAAAAATTTATTTCTATTGCATTATAATTTAACAAAATTTAGATAACAAATATATATATATATATATATGTATAATAGTTGAATTTCAATTAGTTGAATCAAATTTTTATTTTTTAGCTTACCAATGCTATAAGAACTAAAATTAATTAGGGGGGAAGGATGCGAATTTTTTACACAACTCAAGCAATATATAAAATTAGCAAGTTAAGGTTGATTATTTTTCAACATGAATCCAAGTATGACACTACTCGATAATATGAATTATTAGTTATATATTTTAATGTTCACTGAGGGAAGCCATGACAATTTTTTAATCTTTTATTTAACTCCATCTAACTGAATAAAAAAAAAGTATGTAAAATAATAATTAAAGTTAATATCTTTTTTTTCATTTAAGATTTCTTTTTTTGTTACTTATTTTAAAGTCAATCTAGTAAAACAATATAGTAATAAGGTATAATTTTTTTAATTAGAAAAATGCAATTGAATTAAAATCAAACATTCTATGAATAATTTCATTTAGTAGAAATAAATTTTATAAAATTCAACTTATGGAAAAAATTTAATCTCTCCATACACTTGCTAAGTTAATTTTAACTAAAAGTGAAAGTTTTCACATTAAATATCAATCGGATACGAATCAAAATAGCAGTATACGATAACATGATAATAAATGAATTGAGCTAGTATTGAAGTAATTATGAAATAACACAATCTGATGCACTCTCCTAATTGGGGGCCCTAAATTTTATTCAAAATTGGGGACTCGAGGCGACCGCCTTAGTCGTCTCACCCCAGGGCCGACCCTGGTCCCCGACCCCGTCTCGGCCCGTTGCCATTCCTACCCCTAACCAAAGAAAAAAAAAAAAAAAAATTTCTCATACAAAAGCTCACTTAAAAATCTTTCTTGACTAATTAGAAGACACTAATAATAAATGTTGTAGATGAACCTCCGAAATTTTTATTTCCAATAATAAAAAATATTACACAAAAAATTGATAAATATTTTTAAATATAAAAATTTAAAAAAAAAAAAGTCTTTTATTGAAATTTTATTGTTGGTAGGCCTCATTAAAATTGAGTTGGAGGTAGAGTTTGGGGAGACAAGGCGGGGAAAGGAGAGAAGGGAGGTGGACTAGAATGCTTTCATGGAAGAAAAAAGAAGGTAAAGATAAATTTGCATTCTCAAACTTGTTCAAAATAAGGTCATGGGGCTATTTCTACCCATTCAAGGGGAGAGTTTTAGGCTATATTTATTGATGGATTTGTGAAAAAAGGAAAAAGAAAAAGAAAAAGAAAAAGAAAAATCAAAGTTCACTTTTTCATCGTGTAAATTACATCTAAACATTTTCTGTTCTAATTATTTTTCTAAGTTCTTAACATTGCTGGAAAAAAATTAAAAAAAAATAAAAAAATAAAAAAAAAACATTGCTGGTTCAAAAAATGAGGTGTCCTGTAAGGTATTCCAACATTAATTAAGACAAATGCGCATTAGTGCAACGTATGAATGATGAATCTCAAATACAACACATGCCAAAAGCAGCGTCTCCAACATTTCCATACCAAAATTTTGTTTTTCTAAAGCAAGTTCTATTAAAAGGATAAGATCACACTGAAACATAATTATAAAAATAGCTGTAATTTCATCGACTATGAAAATTCTCAGACCCACATAAACAGTTTTAGAGAGAAAAAAAAAAAAAAAAAAGGAAAAAAAGACCGAATTTCATTAATTCAAATCGGCCAAGTCCTACTTCGAAAACATCTACAAACTAGGCTAAAGAAAAACCAAGACAAAGAAATCATGGTTTGATTACTTGAAGTATCCCAAACTCCTTCAACCTTCTCCCATCAACTTTCTCTAAACTTGCTCATTCATTGCAAGGATGGAATAGAGAACGAACTTGCGAAAGTTGAACCCGGCATATCATCACCAAGGCTACCATTTTCATTCTTTATCTTCTTGTCGGCTCTTGGACTGCTCGCTGAACTGCTATTCGAAAGCGAAACAAAACTCGCCTTTTGCAAGACCCCCGTTGGAGAAGATCCGAACTGAGGGCTTCCATTCCATACCCGAGTTGTGACGTTCAAAGCAGATTTGTCATTGAAAGCTCCAACGGTGCTAGGCGTGCTGTTCAAGACCTCCCCTAACGGACCCCCCATCGAACTTCCCCAAGATACAGGTATCCAATTCGTTTGCTTTTGGGTCGATTCACTGAAGTCATTATTAACCGCCAAGCCCATTTGGATTGGGTCAAACTCACAAGATAGCCTAAGTGGTGAGAGGGCGAGTTTTTCTTGAGGGGACGAGGATGAGGTTGATGAGAAATCAGAGGAGGCCATTGGGATTGACATTGAGAGTTGGGTCAAGTCTGATTTCAGTTCTTCGGGCCAGGAAATGGTGGAGCGATCAGATTGGTCCTTAGGCCAGTCATCAATGAAATGGCGAAGTGGGTGTTGGTCATGGGATTCAGGGTCATTGAAATCAAGGATAGAGGTGTAGTTTTGGGAATTCATGCATGAGCTCTTCTGTGAAGGATCGAGTAGGAAATCAGAAGAGAGGAGTCCAAACTCTGAGTGACATGATTCTTCGATAGGGATATGTTGCTTTGGAATGGAGAATGGGGAGTCTTTAGACTTCAGATTGGTGACAATAGGTACCACAGAGGGTCCCTGGGGAACTTGCATTCTGTAGCATAAATTCTCTTTGTTAGTAAAACACATAAAAAATAACTAAAAAGCACAGGCATTTTTATGAAGGTGATGTGTCCTGCTGTGCCGGACACCTGACAGACTGACACAACACAACACTCATCAGACACTTCTCAATGACCGTCATACACCCGTCTAAACATTTCCTACTATCTTTTAAAAAATTGGACTCAGACACGGTTCAAACACCTAGGCTTTGTTTGGATCATAGATTTGTGCAGGGTGTTAGAAAGGAAAAGTAAAGAAAAAAATTCAACTTATATTTCATTCTCGTTTCCCTCACCTTTTTTTTCCCTTTCCAAATCATTATCCAAATCGATGATCCAAACACATCCTTTGGGAAACATGTGTCTATTGCTTGAACATGCATGAAAAACATAAGTTTAATAAAATAATCTATATACCACGTAATAAATACATAAAACTATATATTTTGTTCATATCCCCATGTGTCGTGGTTTACATTTTTGAAAATTTTCCTGTTAACATGTCTATGTCTGTCTCCGTGCTTCTTAGAGACATAGTACAATAAACATAAAATCATTAAAGCCTTAACCAACAGAAACTGGACAAGGATATAAAATGAAGTATTCCTAGAGAAGGAATCTAAAGTCTCAATTGCAAAGACAAGTCGTTTTCACCAAAGTGAAAATGAAATCATGTGGTCTACTTTAAATTAAAGAAAAAGTAACAAAGTGCACAAGTAAGCATATGATTTGATTCAGTATCAATTGATCCAATTCTATTGCACTCAAAATAGATAATGAAAAACAAACTGACATAAAGTGTCTTTTACCTGTTAAGGAGCACTTCTGCAGAAGGATTCCCAGCAACCGGAGGCTGCAAGCCTTTGAACTGGCGCTGAGTGATTCCGAGATTGTTGGTTGCACCGTTGCTGGACATAACCGATGCTGGTGTTGGACAAGCAATCGGCTCCACCTTTGTAGTGGTAGATCCAGAAACGGCTTGGCCAGACCGGCCTTCCACAGGCTTTCTTGAACGGTGGCGGCCCCTGTTTATGTGCCTTTCACAGTATTTCTGTTCGGCAACAGCATCTCTCGAGCAACGCCATTTCTTTCCATCCGTCCTACGACACCTCCCAGGCTCGGGATCGGTGTTCCCGGAGAAACCAAGATGAAAAGAACCCCATCCCACTGCATAGACCAGAAAGAACATGAGAACAAAAAAACGAAAGGAAGAAAAACAAAACACAGAAAACAAAAAACAAAAACAGAAGAAATCAGCTAAAGGGGGTGAGAAATGTGAAGTTTACATCAGAAGAGAAACTTTAGAAGCCCATAAATACTCTGATTCATGCAATTCTGGATTAGAACAAAACTTTCTAGAAATAACTATAACCAAAACAAAGCAAACCCTTGTGTCCTAATAAGTCTCATAAAACACATAAATCTTTTTTTGTCATGACTATATGCTCAGTTAAATTACAGAAATACTATGTGACACACACACACACACACACACACAAAAAAAAAACCTTAAATTAACTCTGAAAATATACGGTCCTAATCAAGTCTGATAAGATACATCAATCTTTTTATCAGGACTAGATGCTCAGTTAAATTAGAGAAATTTTTGTTTCAGAAAAAAAATACCCTTAAAATAACTCCAAAAACACTGTATGAACCAGAGTTATTCTGGATGTGACACAGATCATAACAAGTATCAATCTATAGCTTCTTTTTTTTTTTCTTTTTTTGTGGTAATTCTCTTGGAGGACTTAACCTTTTCCGTTAAATTAAATAAATTCATATATTTTTTTATTACTCTGTCTCGTGTCAATTTAAGTCAAGAATATAGTATATATCAATGCAAACATACTTCTCTAAGTTGAACAACAAATAGATATTCTGGATCCCTAATCGATAATACCCAGTTTCAACCACATCCATGCCCAAACAGCGTAAAACAGTCAAGGACAGAGACATTTTCCCCACAACTGATCATAAGAAAGCAATTGTATTTCAGGTTTTGTGAATTTTTAAGGAAAGAGAACATGCTTACATGAGTTGGGAACATAGGATCCAGCAGAAAACCCGGATAACCCATATGGATGTGGGGGTTTTCCGAGGGCCAAGAGCAAATTGGATGGAATAGGAACATTTGCCATTATGTATTTGTAGATCAGAGCCTGGTGTTCCAGCTCAACCCACTGTGATGGACTAAATGGCCCTCTAGCCTCCAGAAGAGGGGCATGCAAGCCTGCATTCAAGCCTCCTGAATAATATCCTGCTGGAAAAAAAAAAGTGTTGTGAAAAGCATAAAACAAAATGGGAAGCGGTAATGTCTGAACACCCAAGAGTAGAGGTCAAAGATGATTTTGGGAAACAACATTTATTATAAGGAGGGCTTGCACATATGCCATTAAAATTCTCAACTTTGACAGAAAGAATAGAAAGAAAACAGTAGACAGGAAAGAAAAGATGGGGAAAGGGAGTGAAAACCAATCAAAAGTCTTGTTCCTCTAATGTCCCCTCTTGCTCTTTCACTTTTTGTTTCACATGAATCTGGTGTGACCCAAATTTACCAAAACCAAAACAGAGAAAAAGAAAACTGTAAAAAAAAAAACAAAACATAACAAAAAGAAAATTCCTCTTTCATTAACAAGACTGAAAAACAACTTCCTTTTTCCTCTCTCCTTCTATTTTTTTTTTTCCCTATTTGGGTCCCAAATTATAACAACTGGTTCAAAATTGAAAGGTTTTTAGATGTCCACTCTGTACAAGGAAGTAAAGCCATAGAAATTGTTCACAAACACATCTTTGCGAATGAGTGAAACCCAAATCAGATGTATACATATTCAGCATCGTAATCACCATCTAAACAGAACCCACACACTAATTTGACAAGACAGGTTTTTCTTTCGGGGAGTAAAAATGGTTTTTTTTACCTGCATTTCTAGTGTAAGCATAAGGAGTGTGTTGATAGAAAGGAAAAGCTGGGTTCTGAGTGGTCCTTTCAGCTAATCCGCCATTTTTATTGAGAAAAGGAACATCTGATCTGGGTGAAGAGAAGCTCAACATGGTCTGATTTTGACCCCCACCATCGCCAGAGAGCAGAGAATTAGATCTCAGAAGCAGAGGAGTCCCCTGTTGCTGCAACATTGTCTTTGGGGCATCGAAATCGACAGTTCTGGGCACTTTTGAGCTCCTCCAGTTGTCTTCTCCAGACCCAGATCTCTGTTTTTTGAGAAACCCAGATCCACTGCTATTGTGCTTTATGGCATCAGAGTTTGGAACAACCTGAGAAGAACAGACTCCATTGTCTGGACCCACCAAGGTCTCCAAACCCACAGCCCCAAAATCCACCATGTTACTCCCACCAATCTGCAGAGCTTTACAAAGCAAGAGTTCATGAGAGTGAGAGAGAGAGAGTTACGCCATGAGAGGGAAGAGCTTGGAAGAGAGGGAGGAAAGCGCCGGTTGAAGGTGAGGGTGGGGGCGGAGGGGTGATTTAAAGCAGTGAACTTCAAGAAAAAAATAATAATTGGAGAGAGAGAGAAGACAGAACTAGTACACGAAAGACTTTCTCTAAATTTCGGACATTGTTGCCCAAATTTATATACTTTTGTTTCCCAAAGAGAAATATGGGATTATTATTGACGAGAACTCAAGTTATATTCGATTTAAAGCTTTTTACTGTGTGTGTCGCCAGGTAAGAGCGTAAGGGTTGATTTAGCCTCTGTTTGGGAAGTGGGTTGGCTTTTTGACTTTTTGATTTTTTTGGCTATTTTAGTCTAGGCTAAAAAGCTTGGTTTGGGAAGGACTTTTTGACTTTTTGGCTTTTTTGACTTTTTTTGTGAGAGAAGAGTGTAATGATTATGGGTTGGATGTGATGTTTTGTTTGTTGTGGCTAAAATAGCCTATTTTGTCTTTTGTGGCTATTTTAGCCCAACCCAACTTGCCAAACAAAGGCTTAGGAGGTGGGTTAATTTTTTGAATTTTTGATTTTTGTGATTATTTTAGGTCAAGTTTGGGAAGACTAAATAAGTGCACTTTTTGTCTTTTTAGACTAAAAAGTTGAGGTTGAAAATATGAATGTTTGGGTTAACTTTTTGACTTTTTATGGAAAAATGTGTAATAAAAAATTGTAAAAATTAGTTTGTAGGAGAAAATTAGAATTGGGAATTGTGCAGCCGTAATTGTTGACTTTTGGTGAATAGTAATGACTTTTTAACTTTTTGAGTAACTTTTTGACTTTTTAGCTTTTTTTAAACTACCCAAACTTGGCCTTAGTTTTGGTTAAAAAGTTTAGTTTATGAAAGATTTTTTTGATTTTTTTGATTTTTTTTTTGTGAGAAAAGAGTGTAATGATTATGGATTGGATATGATGTTTTGTTTGTTGTGGTTAAAATAATCTATTTTGTCTTTTGTGACTATTTTAGCCACAAACCATCTTGTCAAACGGACCCTTATGGTATGCCATTTATGGGTGATTTGAAATCTGCTTACGGTTTAAGATGGGCTTGGCTCATTTAGGTCTGATTAGGTTTGAGTATAAGCCTAATTCGAGACTGTAAGTTTGGGCTTGAACTATTGTTTTAAAGCCGGATCCGGTCCATCGGCTCGCTTAAAACCGACACAAGACTCGACTTGCCCGAAACTCAATATCTTTTTTAGTAAAAAATAATAAAATTTTAATAGAAAAATTATAAAAAAAAAAAACAAAAAAAATATTCAAGCCCCCAAACCCGAGCCCAGGCCCGAGCTCGCCAACCTCGCCTAAGCTAGGCCCAGTCCGCCCAAGGTCCGAATACCTCTGGGCCTATTTTTATGGCGATCTGAATTTTGGCGGGAGCCTGCGAGGCCCAACTTGGACAGAGCTGAGCCAAATTTACACACCTACCAACGGGGTAGAAAAGGAGTTTCGGCTACCCATCTTTTTCTCTTTTTTCTTAATAATATTAAAAGTTTGTCTTTTTAATTTTTTTCAACTCCATCACTATTACATCGTCACTAGATCTGTCATCTTCTCATTTTCATAGATCGACACTTACCGAATCTGCTTCATCATCTTTAGATGTACTTTTGGTGACCAGTGTTACTGTTGACATTGCCTCTCTTTCTTTTTGATCTTCTAGATTTGATGTTTGGCTTACACCCAAACTTTCACTCTCGCGCATTAAAACTTTAAGATGTGATTACAGATCTTCTCACAATTTGAAAATCAAATTTGTTTAACATATTCGTTTCACACTAGGTGACTACCTCAACCTCAATATTCCATCTTAACTAGCGGAGGTGGGATCTTCAGATTCAAGTTGAAAGTTGCAGTGTAATGGAGTTTTGGATACGTTTGGTGACTTAGATCTGGTTGTTTTCGATTTGCTTTTCTTTTTTTTAATTTATTGTTTGTTGTAATAATCATCCTCGTGTGGAGGTTATATCCCTCATTTGTGAAGGTTTTTTCTCCTCATCTATGGATGTTAGGATTCTTGTTCCTACGGAAGTTTGTCATCTCTTTATGAGATATTTTGTTACTGTTATACGAAATTAATCTAATTTTTTTTTCTCAATTTTATAATGAAAAATTTATTTCCAATTTAAAAGAAAAAGTTATATTTGATTTTCTTTTTCATTACTTGTTTTTGTTTTTGTTTTTTATAATAAATATAAGGCCTTCTATGTACACCTAAATATATTATTGGGTAGTATTTTATTTTAATACTTTATTCTTAAATTTTAATTTTTAAATTTTTTTTAATACTTCAATTAATTCTAATTTTATTTCTACTCACTCAAATGCCACCGTAACCCAACCTTTGCCACGTGCAGACACACACACACACTCTCTCTCTCTCTCTCTCTCTTCCCTAACGTCTCTCACCTCCTTCTCGATATTGTTGAATTCACCCCATGTGAAGGGGAAATTGTCTTGTGAACACACCTTGGTTGGTCAACAAGGAAGTAGGCTACCAACCATGTCAAAGAAGGAGGCTGCCGAAGTCAAGCATGGAGGCTACCCAATGGCACTCCCACCTACTCCAAGGTGTATAAAATGGAATGGTGATGGTGAGTTGTAGACAGGGCAAATGGCAAAACACATTGCTGAGAGGAAGGCACAAAACAGAGAGAGCTAGTGAGAGCTATTTTCTGTTTGTAGAGTGTGAGTGAGTGTGTTATATAGAGAGACAGTGAGTTGAGAGTGTGTAATCTCCTCCATTTGTTGATATATAACAACATCGCTCCCGTGGACGTAGGCCGGTTTGCCGAACCACGTTAAAACTCTTGTGTTTTTGCTTGTGAGTGTCCCCTGGTGTGCCCACGATCCGCAACAGATATATCTCGCTCGGCAGCCCCTCCACTTCTTTCCACCATTTTCAAAATTGAACACCTTATTCGAAACTTTAAATCTATGTGTGTGAGACAGAGAGAGAGGGAAAAGGGGAAGGGAAAGACCACACACCACTAGAAGAAGTAGAAGAAGAAAGAAAAAAAGAAAGAAAGAGACGAAACTTCTAAGATATAGTATATGAAAGGCTGGGGTAATTGTTAGAGCTACTAGTGACGGAGATCGAAAGTAGAGAAGTCGGTAATTGAGAGTTGGTGTTGATAAAAATGAATTTGAGAGTTTCACCTTTGTTAATAATTTGATTTAAAGGTAGTTAAAAAAAATTAAAAATGTGAATTGTTCAATAATATTTTTGGGGTGTATTTATTGAACAATTTACTAAAATGTTCTCCGAACCTAATAAACCTTAATGAAAGAAAAATGCTTGGGAGCACTAAAAGGAGATCACTAAAAGGAGCACTAAAGATGTGGCAGTAGGCCCCACCCACTTTTTATGCCTTGTTTTTATTTTTTTATTATTTTTTTTTTGTCATTTTTAATGTATTAGTGCTATTAGTGATGCATTTTTTAGTGGTCTAAATCATTGTTGTTAATGAAATTAGCTTGAGTCAAGAACATAAAAGTTGGATTTGCAAAAAAATTTAGTGCCGTATTTAAGAATTGTTTTCTATATTGAAAAATAATACGAAAATTTTGTTTAACAAATTGCTTTCATAAAAGTTTCTAAAAATACCTTAATAAATTAGTCATAACAAATTATTGTCCATCAACTTATCTATGAATTTAAGTTATTAAAAGGAAAGAACTTTGGACCAAAAAAGTAACGGAGATAAGATAATTATTTTTTTTCAATCCTCATGACGTCATGTGTGGTCAAGTAATTTTTCATTAGCAGGGAAAAATATGCCTAAATATTATAATTATTGATTAGACAATAAGATTCAAATATAAGATATATTGTATTCTCTAATGTCATAATAGATTAGTAATTACTCACTCATCAAAATGATTAAAGAAATGAATAACTTTATTATTTATATCATCAACTCTAGTTTTAGAAATTACTCTAATTTTTTTTTTAAATTAATAAACTATTTTTGACATAAAGATGGAAACGATAAGTGATTTCAAAATTTTCATTGTCTTAATTAATAAAAATATGAAAAATAAATACGTTAAAACTATACCAAACAATTGATCCACATATGTGTATTTTTTTTATGAGAACAATTGATCCACTATGGCGTAAGAAGGTTTTTAGTTTTGAGCTTAGAAATTTGTCTTCAATATTTCAAGCAATTAGTCCACAATGATATTCTAAGTCACAATTCGACCTATGTTTTTGTTAGTACATGAATTCCAATGGAAATTTAAAGATGATTTGGAATTGATATCTTCATTCTCTTTTTGAGGTAGGAAATGTGAGAAAATTGTATAAGTTTGCAACATCTTTACTATTTTTTATCTCATCATTTTTCTTCAAGGTAATGGGAGATAGTCTACAACATGCAACTTCAATCATTTTAATGAACTATCACTAAGAAGAACATTTTAAGTATTCAAAAATTTAAACGATAATTATAGTTTAATGGCAACAAAAAGAAACTTCAATCAAAATCATTTAGTTTATCGATAATACACCTCTAGTGATGAAAGGTGTTAGGCGGCCACCATAATACTATTTTGTGAAGATTTTAGAATAGAAATAAATTCTCACGCAAATAATAAGTATTTAAAGAATTCACACCCAATCCTATCTTCTTTCCCAGAGATTTTCACTAATACTGTGTTTGATTAAAAGATTTAGAGAGGGATTTAGAATGGGAAAAGGAAAATATGTATGAAACTAGATGAAATGTAAGTATATTTTATTCACATTTCACCTAACTTTTCCCTTTTCCTTTCCAAATCCCTCATCAAATCTCCGAACCAAACACAGCGTAATTAGTGTTGCTTACCACTAACGGAAACATTCATCATGTACTATAGTCAAGTAGTCTAATCTTTTTTAATCTTGTTTCCTTATATTCATCAGTTTTTTTAGAATTAGTCACTTGAGTCTTGACTGGGACTTTTAATAAACACGGCCATCAATTAAACTTTCAACAAAATTTCTCATTTATGACTTCATAAAATGTAACAGAATAAAATTATGGAACAATTTTTCAAGTCACAATTTAACTCGTTTACCTGAGAGAAAATTGAGTTCTTTGATCTGAATGCAACTCTAAATTGTCCATCTTTCTTTAAGCTGATTCTTGTTCTGTAATATTGCTTC